TTATTATTATTATTATTATTATTATTATTATTATTTACATATTGTCTGCTGTAATTAAAAGTACACTATTTTCTTTTTATGTTTGGATAAAATTCCTCCTCGCTCATCTCAGAGGACAAACTTTTTTAACATCCTTTTTTATTGTTTGAATAATCTTTATTTAAACCTGCAACATACTCAGTCACCTACCCAAAGCTTTATTTATTTTGTGCTTTAAATCTAAAAAGAATTTAAGTCTTTATTTTGTTGTTTTTATGTTTGACTGCATGCCCTAAAAGATCAGCTTTGTATATTTTTAACTTTAATTATATATATTTTCTACTTTTTCACGTTTTAATCATCACTGTGGTTAAAAATAGAAAGGTGTCCTAGATGGGAGCTAATTAGTTTGTGTCCTCCTCCAACCTTCTCTGTTTCTGTTTTAGAGGAGCTGCAGAAGCAGCTGCTGGAGCAAGTGGAGCTGAGGAAAAAGCTGGAACGAGAATTTCAAAACTTGAAAGGTAGAAGATAAATGTGATCAAAGTGTATTTCTTTTTTTTATTATTTTCATCACTTTGGCCTTTTTTTTGTCTAAAGTGATCTCATGACCAAGAATTGTTTAACTGCTGCACGAGAAACAGTTTTATTATATACTTTTTTCTTTTTCATGAATTCTGCCCCTTTAATGGAGCTCAGCTTCAGTTTGTGATTTTGATTTTCTACCATTATATTTGCGAAACTGAAACAGTGAAATGTTTTTTTGCCCAGGGGGACATTTTATAACAAAGATTAAAACAAATATTTATTTTTACAACAATGACATAAAAATTCTTGTATTTAATAATTAAACAGGATGGCAGAATATTCTCTTTGCACTGAATCGATGCCTAAAAGTCCTCCACAATAGAATCAAAAGTGGATTTAACACAGGAGAGGAAACACAATCGGATGAAACTGGGAACACATTCAGTCCATTTTGTCTTTAACAAAACTCCTGTTTTCTTCAAAATGATGAACAGACACCAGACAACTGATGTCATTTTAATTTGGGTGAATGTGGAATAATTTATAATTCCTCAGGACTATTTTGCTTTAAATTAAATGACTTTTTGTTGTTTTATTGTTTAAAGTTCTACAGATCATGTCAAAGAAGGAGATTAATCTTACAAAAGAAGTTGACACTTTAAAGAGTGCAGAATGCTGTAATAAAATCTACATAAAGCAACATTTTTTTATTTTCTATTAGATCACATAAAACCCATCATC